ACACCCTCATCACCTTACTCTTTTCAATGTTCACTTTCAACTTTCTACCTTTACACACATTCTCCAACTCATCCACTAACCTTTGCAATTTTTCTTTAGAATCTCCCATAAGCACAGTATCATCAGCAAAAAGTAACTGTGTCAATTCCCATTTTTAATTTGATTCCCCATAACTTAATCCCACCCCTCTCCCGAACACCCTAGCATTTACTTCTTTTACAACCCCATCTATAAATATATTAAACAACCATGGTGACATTACACATCCCTGTCTAAGACCTACTTTTACCGGGAAGTATTCTCCCTCTCTTCTACACACCCTAACCTGAGCCTCACTATCCTCATAAAAACTCTTTACAGCATTTAATAACTTACTACCTATTCCATAAACTTGCAACATCTGCCACATTGCTCCTCTATCCACTCTATCATATGCCTTTTCTAAATCCATAAATGCAATAAAAACTTCCCTACCTTTATCTAAATACTGTTCACATATATGCTTCAATGTAAACACTTGATCTACACATCCCCTACCCACTCTGAAACAACCTTACTCATCCGCAATCCTACATTCTGTCTTACCTCTAATTCTTTCAATTATAACCCTACCGTATACTTTTCCTGGTATACTCAGTAAACTTATCCTCTATAATTTTTACAATCTCTTTTGTCCCCTTTCCCTTTATATAAAGGGACTATACATGCTCTCCGCCAATCCCTAGGTACCTTCCCCTCTTTCATACATTCATTAAACAAAAGTACCAACCACTCCAACACTATATCCCCCCTGCTTTTAACATTTCTGTCATGATCCCATCAGTTCCAGCTGCTTTACCCCCTTTCATTCTACGTAATGCCTCACGCACCTCCCCCACACTTACATTCTGTTCTTCTTCACTCCTAAAAGATGGTATACCTCCCTGACCAGTGCATGAAATTACCGCCTCCCTTTCTTCCTCAACATTTAAAAGTTCCTCAAAATATTCTCGCCATCTACCTAATACCTCCATCTCCCCATCTACTAACTCCCCTACTCTGTTTTTAACTGACAAATCCATACTTTCCCTAGGCTTTCTTAACTTGTTTAACTCACTCCAAAATTTTTTCTTATTTTCATTAAAATTTCTTGACAGTGCCTCTCCCACTCTTTCATCTGCTCTCCTTTTGCACTCTCTCACCACTCTCTTCACCTTTCTTTTACTCTCCATATACTCTGCTCTTCTTATAACACTTCTGCTTTGTAAAAACCTCTCATAAGCTACCTTTTTCTCTTTTATCACACCCTTTACTTCATCATTCCACCAATCACTCCTCTTTCCTCCTGCCCCCACCCTCCTATAACCACAAACTTCTGCCCCACATTCTAATACTGCATTTTTAAAACTATTCCAACCCTCTTCAACCCCCCCCCACTACTCATCTTTGCACTAGCCCACCTTTCTGCCAATAGTCGCTTATATCTCGCCCGAACTTCCTCCTCCCTTAGTTTATACACTTTCACCTCCCTCTTACTTGTTGTTGCCACCTTCCTCTTTTCCCATCTACCTCTTACTCTAACTGTAGCTACAACTAAATAATGATCCGATATATCAGTTGATCGTCTATAAACATGTACATCCTGGAGCCTACCCATCAACCTTTTATCCACCAATACATAATCTAACAAATTACTTTCATTACGTGCTACATCATACCTTGTATATTTATTTATCCTCTTTTTCATAAAATATGTATTACTTATTACCAAATTTCTTTCTACACATAGCTCAATTAAAGGCTCCCCATTTACATTTACCCCTGACACCCCAAATTTACCTACTACTCCCTCCATAACATTTTTACCCACTTTAGCATTGAAATCCCCAACCACCATTACTCTCACACTTGATTCAAAACTCCCCACGCATTCACTCAACATTTCCCAGAATCTCTCTCTCTCCTCTACACTTCTCTCTTCCCCAGGTGCATACACGCTTACTATAACCCACTTTTCACATCCAATCTTTATTTTACTCCACATAATCCTTGAATTAATACATTTATAGTCCCTCTTTTCCTGCCATAGCTTATCTTTCAACATTATTGCTACTCCTTCTTTAGCTCTAACTCTATTTGAAACCCCTGACCTAATCCCATTTATTCCTCTCCATTGAAACTCTCCCACATCCTTCAGCTTTGTTTCACTTAAAGCCAGGACATCCAGCTTCTTCTCATTCATAACATCCACAATCATCTCTTTCTTATCATTCGCACAACATCCACGCACATTCAGACTTCCCACTTTGACAATTTTCTTCTTCTTATTCTTTTTAGTAATCTTTACAGGAAAAGGGGTTACTAGCCCATTGTTCCCGGCATTTTAGTTGACTTTTACAACACGCATGGCTTACGGAGGAAAGATTCTTATTCCACTTCCCCATGGATATAAAAGGAAAAGTAATAAGACCAAGAACTATTAAGATAAAATCAAAGAAAACTCAGATGAATGTGTATAAATAAACGTGTACATGTATGTGTAGTGTGACCTAAGTGTAAGTAGAAGTAGCAAGACATGCCTGTAATCTTGCATATTTATGAGACAGACAAAAGACACCAGCAATCCTACCATCATGTAAAACAATTACTGGCTTTCGTTTTACACTTACTTGGCAGGATGGTAGTACCTCCCTGGGCGGTTGCTGTCTACCAACCTACTACCACAGGACGGTAGTACCTCCCTGGGTGGTTGCTGTCTACCAACCTACTACCACAGGACGGTAGTACCTCCCTGGGTGGTTGTTGTCTACCAACCTACTACCACAGGACGGTAGTACCTCCCTGGGCGGTTGTTGTCTACCAACCTACTACCACAGGACGGTAGTACCTCCCTGGGTGGTTGTTGTCTACCAACCTACTACCACAGGACGGTAGTACCTCCCTGGGTGGTTGCTGTCTACCAACCTACTACCACAGGACAGTAGTACCTCCCTGGGTGGTTGTTGTCTACCAACCTACTACCACAGGACGGTAGTACCTCCCTGGGTGGTTGCTGTCTACCAACCTACTACCACAGGACAGTAGTACCTCCCTGGGTGGTTGTTGTCTACCAACCTACTACCACAGGACGGTAGTACCTCCCTGGGTGGTTGCTGTCTACCAACCTACTACCACAGGACGGTAGTACCTCCCTGGGTGGTTGTTGTCTACCAACCTACTACCACAGGACGGTAGTACCTCCCTGGGCGGTTGTTGTCTACCAACCTACTACCACAGGACGGTAGTACCTCCCTGGGTGGTTGCTGTCTACCAACCTACTACCACAGGACGGTAGTACCTCCCTGGGTGGTTGCTGTCTACCAACCTACTACCACAGGATGGTAGTACCTCCCTGGGTGGTTGCTGTCTACCAACCTACTACCACAGGACGGTAGTACCTCCCTGGGTGGTTGCTGTCTACCAACCTACTACCACAGGACGGTAGTACCTCCCAGGGTGGTTGCTGTCTACCAACCTACTACCACAGGACGGTAGTACCTCCCTGGGTGGTTGCTGTCTACCAACCTACTACCACAGGACGGTAGTACCTCCCTGGGTGGTTGTTGTCTACCAACCTACTACCACAGGACGGTAGTACCTCCCTTGGTGGTTGTTGTCTACCAACCTACTACCACAGGACGGTAGTACCTCCCTGGGTGGTTGTTGTCTACCAACCTACTACCACAGGACGGTAGTACCTCCCTGGGTGGTTGTTGTCTACCAACCTACTACCACAGGACGGTAGTACCTCCCTGGGTGGTTGTTGTCTACCAACCTACTACCTTAAATATATATATATATATATATATATATATATATATATAAATATATATATATATATATATATATATATATATATATATATATTATATATATATTTATATATATATATGTGTGTGTGTGTGTGTGTGTGTGTGTGTGTGTGTGTGTGTGTGTGTGTGTGGTGTGTGTGTGTGTGTGTAGACCTACTTTCTGGCTTAATCACTTATTTACTTTCCACTTACTTTTCGTTACTTTCTAGTTAACTTTTGCTACTTTCTAGATAAATTTAATTACTTTGTAGTCAACTTTTCCTATTTTATAGTTAACCTTTGTTACTCTCTAGTTAACTTTCGCTAATTTCTACTTGACAATAGCTACTTTCTAGTCAATTTTGCTAGTTTCTAGTTAGCATTTGCTACTTTCTAGTCAACGTTAGTTAATTTTTTGTTAACTTTCGCTACTTTCTAGTTAACCTTCGCTACTTTCTACTTGACTTTCGTTACTTTCTAGTCAGTTTTGCTACTTTCTAGTTAACTTTGGCTACTTTCTAGTCAACGTTCGTTAATTTTATGTTAACTTCCTCTACTTTTTAGTTAACTTTTCTACTTTCTAATTAACTTTTCTACTTTCTAGTTAAATTCTTTACTTTCTATTTAACTATCGCTACTCTCTAGTTAACTTTCGCTACTTTCTAGTTAACTTTCGCTACTTTCTAGTTAACTTTCGCTACTTTCTAGTTAATTTTCGCTACTTTCTAGTTAACTTTTGCTACTTTCTAGTTAACTTTCGCTACTTTCTAGTTAACTTTCGCTACTTTCTAATTAATTTTAGCTGCTTTCTAGTTAACTTTCGCTACTTTCTAGTTAACTTTCGCTACTTTCTAGTTAACTTTTGCTACTTTCTAGTTAATTTTCGCTACTTTCTAGTTAACTTTTGCTACTTTCTAGTTAACTTTCGCTACTTTCTAGTTAACTTTCGCTACTTTCTAGTTAATTTTCGCTACTTTCTAGTTAACTTTCACTACTTTCTAGTTAATTTTCGCTACTTTCTAGTTAACTTTTGCTACTTTCTAGTTAACTTTCGCTACTTTCTAGCTAACTTTCGCTACTTTCTAGTTAACTTTCGCTACTTTCTAGTTAACTTTCGCTACTTTCTAGTTAACTTTCGCTACTTTCTAGTTTACTTTCGCTACTTTCTAGCTAAATTTCGTTAATTTACAGATTCTTCTGACCTTGTTGTTGACGGCTCAAGCAGCACCGTTGGTGTTGCCTGAGGACACAGCTGGTGTGGAGGTGACTCAGTCACAGTCCATTCCGGCAGATGGTCCAGCAACGAAGCCTGCAGGTGGTTATCTTGAAGCTCAGCATCACCAGTACAGCAGGTGGTCCAAGAGTCTGCTCCAGCTGATGAAGCACCAGCTGGCACTGCTGAAGAACCATCTGCCCCTGCTGAACCAGCAACAGCTACTCTTGCTGAGGAGGCACCAGCTGCCACCGCTGAAGAACCAGCTGCCCCTGCTGAAGCTGCACCAGCTGCCGAAGTAGCTGCCCCTGCTGAAGAACCAGTTGCACCAGCTGCCGAAGTAGCTGCCCCTGCTGAAGAACCAGCTGCCCCTGCCGAGGAACCATCAGCTGCCCCTGCTGAAGAACCAGCTACCCCTGTTGAAGAAGCACCAGCTGCCCCTGCTGAAGCTGCACTAGCTGCCGAAGTAGCTGCCCCTGCTGAAGAACCAGCTGCCCCTGCTGAAGCTGCGCCAGCTGCCGAAGTAGCTGCCCCTGCTGAAGAACCAGCTGCCCCTGCCGAGGAACTACCAGCTGCCCCTGCTGAAGAACCAGCTGCCCCTGCCGAGGAACCACCAGCTGCCCCTGCTGAAGAACCACCTGTACCAGCTGCCGAAGTAGCTGCCCCTGCTGAAGAACCAGCTGCTCCTGCTGAAAAATCAGCTTCACCAGCTGCCGAAGTAGCTGCCCCATGCTGAAGAACCAGCTGCCCCTGCTGAATCACCAGCTGCCCCTGCTGAAGAACCAGCTGTCCCTGCTGAAGAACCAGCTGCCCCTGCTGAATCACCAGCTGCCCCTGCTGAAGAACCAGCAGCCCCTGCTGAATCACCAGCTGCCCCTGCTGAAGAACCAGCACCCTGCTGAATCACCAGTGCCCTGTGAAGAACCAGCTGCCCCTGCTGAATCACCAGCTGCCCCTGCTGAAGAACCAGCTGCCCCTGCTGAATCACCAGCTGCCCAAGCTTCACCATCTAAGTTGTTATTCCTGGAACCCACCATCACAGTAGGTGCTCCAGTGGTGGTCAAAAACAGCGGCTCTTCTCCCCTCAACCTGGTGAACCCAGTGGCCCAGGTGGACCCCCTGGCCCAGGTGGACCCACGTTTCCGGCCATACATCTACCCTAACGATGCCCCACATATCGTTGCAGCTAAAATCGCACACTTCCGCCTACACGCCGCACTGCTCCCGCCCATTTCTGTCGCACCGGCCTACTAGAAGAATTACCTAGGCTCTGGTTACGAAAGATTTGGCTATTAGTAAGTTATTAATGTGAAGATATTGCAGTATTTATGTGTGTGTGTGTGTGTTTACGTAGGCCTAGAGGCCTATAGAAGGAAACTTCAACCTATGGGATAGAGAGGCATACATATATTTGAAATTTGTACATAGGTATAAATTAATATTTTTGCACTGTTCATTGGTACAACGAGTTTGTTCATAATGTTCATCTAGTCGTAGTTGTGATGGTAAGGTGTTTTGAAGAGTGTACATTTGTACAGATTGTTCCATCTGGTGTACAACTTCGTTAATGTTTTAATGTTCAAGTGAGTGTTCCATCGATGTGCTGCCAGGCAGTTCAGAGCAACGTGGCTGGTACAATTCACAGCTACAATACCCTGGCTGGTACAGATTCACAGCTATATTAAGCTGGCTGGTACAATTCATAGCTATAATTCCGTGGCTGATACAATTCACAGGTACAATACCCTGGCTGATACAATTCACAGCTACAATACACTGGCTAGTACAATTCACAGCTACAATACCCTGGCTGTACAATTCACAGCTACAATACCATGGCTGATACAATTCACAGCTACAATACCCTGGCATGTACAAATTTCTTTTCATTCACAGCTACAATACCCTGGCTGATACAATTCACAGCTACAATACCCTGGCTGGTACAATTCACAGCTACAATATTGCTGGTATTTTACGAAGCAAAGTGCTCAACCGGCCTCGTGTTCTGTGTCTGGAGGTTGTTGGTGCTTATTTAGAGCATCTCGGTGGAGATCTGAGGTCCGTGCTCCGTCAGAGGAGGCTGGTGATCATTAAAGACCTGGAGCTCACACCGCTGGGAGAAGCTCAACTGAGCTCCGCCTCCAAAATTTTTTCTCACTAATCCGCTTTCTTAAGAATCGTTATATATATATATATATATATATATATATATATATATATATATATATAATATATATATATATATATATATATATATATAAAATGTATGCATATGTATATTCGACAGCCTCGAAATGTATACACAGATATATTTTAGAAATTAAAGGACTCATGAAGCTATTGTTTTTTCCATTTATTGTACCTCAATATTCAAAGCACAGGTGAAGTCTGATGGCCTGCACACCTGGCTGTAGCACGAGAATCAAGGTAGAAACGACGAACGAACAAAAGTTAGTAGTGATTAAATATTTATATATATTTTTCCTTCAGCAAGCAGTATGCAAGTAGTATATGTTCAACGTATATACAAGATTGACAAAGTTTCGCAAGCAAGAGAAACAGTGAGAATTGTGAGCGACCAGACTTGAGGTAAACCTGCCAATGTTGATCCACGAGTCCCAGACATCGCTTCACAGCTTTGGTGGTGTTCCTTGTGACTGGCTGACTGAACCAAGGTGCTAGTATAACAAGGGGCCTCCACTTGTTATACTCTCAGCACCTGGTTTGCTGGTCAGGAGGCAGCCTATGTGGCTCTGTAACGTATACTGAATAAAATGCGACATACCCTTAACATGCCTCACCCCCACCCCAAAAGTGCCCTAATAGCCAGGATTAGGCATCCTTCACTAGGCACTGTGCCACCATGGCATGAATTACTAATGGAACTGCCTTTCCTCTCAACCATCCAACTCAGTAGATAGTGTACAACCCAAGGGGGACTTTTAAGTCAAACATAACCTTAGACTAAGACAAAAGACGTAAGGATAAAGAAAGGTTTGAGCTCCGGAGAGGTTATCAGTGAACACTTTCTTTGCTGGTAATGTGACGAATACAATAATAATAATAATAATAATAATAATAATAATAATAATAATAATAATAATAATAATAATAATAATAATATAATAATAATAATAATAATATCTATATTTCTACAAGTACATGTACAAGGTATACAGACCATAGTGTCAGGGGCCCGAGACTGTTCAACTGCCTCCCAGCACACATAAGGGGGATTACCAACAGACCCCTGGCAGTCTTCAAGCTGGCACTGGACAAGCACCTAAAGTCAGTTCCTGATCAGCAGGGCTGTGGCTCGTACGTTGGTTTACGTGCAGCCAGCAGTAACAGCCTGGTTGATCAGGCTCTGATCCACCATGAGGCCTGGTCACAGACCGGGCCGCGGGGGCGTTGACCCCCGGAACTCTCTCCAGGTAAACATAGCTGACATTAATGACATACTACTATATAGAAGGTCCCTTGTTATGCTGAGCATTTCAGGGAAATTAGGTCAATTTTGTCCCAGGATGTGACCCACACCAGTCCACTAACACCAAGGATGTGACCCACACCAGTCCACTAACACCCAGGATGTGACCCACACCAGTCCACTAACACCCAGGATGTGACCCACACCAGTCCACTAACACCCAGGATGTGACCCACACCAGTCCACTAACACCCAGGATGTGACCCACACCAGTCCACTAACACCCAGGATGTGACCCACACCAGTCCACTAACACCCAGGATGTACCCACACAGTCCACTAACACCCAGGATGTGACCACACCAGTCCACTAACACCCAGGATGTGACCCACACCAGTCCACTAACACCCAGGATGTGACCCACACCAGTCCACTAACACCCAGGTACGACCCACACCAGTCCACTAACACACCAGGATGCGACCCACACCAGTCCACTAACACCCAGGATGTGACCCACACCAGTCCACTAACACCCAGGATATGACCCACACCAGTCCACTAACACCCAGGATACAACCCACACCAGTCCACTAACACCCAGGATGTGACCCACACCAGTCCACTAACACCCAGGATGTGACCCACACCAGTCCACTAACACCCAGGATGTGACCCACACCAGTCCACTAACACCCAGGATACGACCCACACCAGTCCACTAACACCCAGGATGTGACCCACACCAGTCCACTAACACCCAGGATACGACCCACACCAGTCCACTAACACCCAGGATGTGACCCACACCAGTCCACTAACACCCAGGATGTGACCCACACCAGTCCACTAACACCCAGGATACAACCCACACCAGTCCACTAACACCCAGGATGTGACCCACACCAGTCCACTAACACCCAGGATGTGACCCACACCAGTCCACTAACACCCAGGATACGACCCACACCAGTCCACTAACACCCAGGATGCGACCCACACCAGTCCACTAACACCCAGGATGTGACCCACACCAGTCCACTAACACCCAGGAAACGACCCACACCAGTCCACTAACACCCAGGATGTGACCCACACCAGTCCACTAACACCCAGGATGTGACCCACACCAGTCCACTAACACCCAGGATACGACCCACACCAGTCCACTAACACCCAGGATGTGACCCACACCAGTCCACTAACACCCAGGATACGACCCACACCAGTCCACTAACACCCAGGATGTGACCCACACCAGTCCACTAACACCCAGGATGCGACCCACACCAGTCCACTAACACCCAGGATACGACCCACACCAGTCCACTAACACCCAGGATGTGACTCACACCAGTCCACTAACACCCAGGATGTGACCCACACCAGTCCACTAACACCCAGGATGTGACCCACACCAGTCCACTAACACCCAGGATGCGACCCACACCAGTCCACTAACACCCAGGATGTGACCCACACCAGTCCACTAACACCCAGGATGTGACCCACACCAGTCCACTAACACCCAGGATGTGACCCACACCAGTCCACTAACACCCAGGATGTGACCCACACCAGTCCACTAACACCCACGATGTGACCCACACCAGTCCACTAACACCCAGGATGTGACCCACACCAGTCCACTAACACCCAGGATGTGACCCACACCAGTCCACTAACACCCAGGATGTGACCCACACCTGTCCACTAACACCCATGATGTGACCCACACCAGTCCACTAACACCCAGGATGTGACCCACACCAGTCCACTAACACCCAGGATGCCACCCACACCAGTCCACTAACACCCAGGATGTAACCCACACCAGTCCACTAACACCCAGGATGCCACCCACACCAGTCCACTAACACCCAGGATGTAACCCACACCAGTCCACTAACACCCAGGATGCCACCCACACCAGTCCACTAACACCCAGGATGCGACCCACACCAGTCCACTAACACCCAGGATGCCACCCACACCAGTCCACTAACACCCAGGATGTGACCCACACCAGTCCACTAACACCCAGGATGCGACCCACACCAGTCCACTAACACCCAGGATGCGACCCACACCAGTCCACTAACACCCAGGATGCGACCCACACCAGTCCACTAACACCCAGGATGCGACCCACACCAGTCCACTAACACCCAGGATGTGACCCACACCAGTCCACTAACACCCAGGATGTGACCCACACCAGTCCACTAACACCCAGGATGCGACCCACACCAGTCCACTAACACCCAGGATGTGACCCACACCAGTCCACTAACACCCAGGATGCGACCCACACCAGTCCACTAACACCCAGGATGCGACCCACACCAGTCCACTAACACCCAGGATGTGACCCACACCAGTCCACTAACACCCAGGATGCGACCCACACCAGTCCACTAACTCCCAGGATGCGACCCACACCAGTCCACTAACACCCAGGATACGACCCACACCAGTCCACTAACACCCAGGATGTGACCCACACCAGTCCACTAACACCCAGGATGCCACCCACACCAGTCCACTAACTCCCAGGATGTGACCCACACCAGTCCACTAACACCCAGGATGCGACCCACACCAGTCCACTAACACCCAGGATGCGACCCACACCAGCCCACTAACACCCAGGATGCGACCCACACCAGTCCACTAACACCCAGGATGCCACCCACACCAGTCCACTAACTCCCAGGTAACCATTTCACTGATGGTGAACATAAAAAACCAGTGTAAAGAAACTCGCGCAATGTTTCTACCCTCGCCGGGAATCCAACCCAAATCCTCGCCGTGTGAACCTAGAGCTTTAGCCACCAGGCCACGGGTCACTGTGGCCTGGTGGCT